GAACTGATAACATTACTGTTGTTTCCTCAATTGCAGTTATGTTGTAAGTGCTATTTGTTATAGGTTGCTCGTTACGGCGGTGAATATGGCTTGTTGGTCTCAGAATCGGCACTTTCCTTTATCCAATAAATAGTAAAAGACCAGCGTGGTAGGAATAATTTAGAATTCGACTGACGCTAATGGCACCCAACACACAGCCTCTCACAATAGGCAACAAAGTCTTATTACTCAGGTATAATCACAAATAAAACTAAGCCATTCAAAGCACTCTCCACTGATAAACTTATAGTACGCAAAACTCATCACAACTCTTATATATGGAAAAACAATTTATGGTTAGTCAATAACGATCATGTTTAGTGAATACAATATCAGTTCATCGACAAGACTCGATAATTTGAATAATTAGTGTACTACAGGAGTTGGGTTCTACGTAGAAATATAGAAAAGCTTTTCGTTCTATCGTTCTATGAGATTTGTTGTATACCTATTTATTCGTACTAAAAACATTATTCGTCCTTGCAATTTTTACAGCTGTACGCGCGACTTAATTTGTGTATTCTGGGTGTATGCTTTGTCGACTGCTACCTCACGGCGATTCCATGTACCTCTCTCAAGTCCAAGTGTCAAAATAGCTCCAGTGTGATCACGTGCAGGTGGTTCTAGCCGTCCATTAATAAACCACAGACCTGATGTGCTCTGATTCTTGAAGGTGTCCACCTTTACGTTCATCGCTTACATGCATGCACTATACTGAATATTACGAGTCATTTATGGTGCGTATCTGCGAGAAGACGAGAGCCGTTACCGACTGGTTCCTCGGGACATCAAGCGCTCTGCCGGAAGACCACTGACCCGTTGGTCCGATTCCTTCATGAAAGCTTCAACGAAAGATATGATGCTAAGCGAATCCCTCGAGCAAGGAGGACCCACTGGGCTACTTTTGCGCGCGATAAGGAAAAATGGAAGTGTTGCTGGTACCCGCTTGAGTCACTCGACGATCAACGGGGCGACAAGTGGCAGGTGATTTGCGGAAACGAGTCGAGTACTTTTGCACATGGAAAAAGTGTGCAATAATACACAGACCTGCTCATATAATTTAGTCAGTAGTGCACATTTTTTGAAAAGTGTGCCTTCGTAGGTGACCGGCTGAGAAAATGGGGGTCAGTTTGACCTTCCTAAGTTTCCATGAAACGGAAATCTTCGAACTTTCAACCAATATTGCATGATATCATGACTAATTGCGTAAAGAGGACAATGATTAAGGGATGATTGATAAATCGCTGTGAAAGGTGCTGTTAACCATAATCTTGCCCTACTCTTTGGTGACCATCGAAGGTATTCGAAAAAGCGTGAGGCTAAGGACATGAAGTTGCTCGACTTCTGCGTACTCTATATCTCCGACTTTGAGTACTGATTGTAGCACAGATATATCTATGGTGACTACAGCAACGCAGTGTAAAACAGACGCTCCTTTCTTGGCATTATACAAACTATTGGTCAGAAATATGTGTGTTCAAAGAAGTATTCTTAGCAATTCTCCCTTATTGCCGCACTTATTCAAAAATAACATTTTCTATTCCTCTTTGACGTTTTAATAATTATTGAACAACTTGAATCTTGAAAATTTGGATAGTGCATTTTATTTTCGAAGTTGTTCTCATATTATACTGTAAAAGTAAAAAATAGAAATTTACTTCACACTCAAGCATCTTTTGCTGGACATAGCTTTTCATTTAGATTTTCAATGGCCACTCGATAGCGCAGTCTCAACGATTTCAGTGATATACTTGGTTTTTAAAAAAAGACTTTTTCGTATGCTCTTACAGTTAAAAGAATATATCGTTTCACACTCGACGCGCATGGCACGCTACGTGTGAATCGCGCTGCGCATTCTACACGGCGCCGAATGCGGAACTCTAAATTCTTTTAGCTGTAACAGCACACTAGGAAGTGTCTCTCATAAACCAAGCATGCTGTTGAAATCATTATGATTTGCGCTATCGTTTTCTTTGTTTGTCCTTTTCTTTTTTACTTCTTTCCTTTCTAAAAAAGAACAACAGAATAACTCTGGTAGAAACATAATGTGCAGTTAGTTCTCGGATCGCATGAGGAAGATAGACTGACTTCTACACGCATACGCTCCGCGCTCTAACAACAAGCTGATTGAGACGGTCATGAAGTGGTTAACTTTTACGAACTCGCATATTTCGTGTTGCCAATCTACCGCACGATACCTAGTTTTTGGCGGTTATGAACTTGCTAGTCTTTGATGATTGATAGTATTTTTATTCACAACTAAATTAATGGAGGAATTTGATTATGATGAGATTGTGAGCAGATTTTGCACTATCGCATCTATTGGTATCAGTCGTATATATGATGTTCTTTACTAAATGGTAGTATGGTTCATCATGCAAACCTAATAATGTTAGAACTGCGAAATATCGCAACAGATGTCCTGTCTCTCTCAGCACGTCTATAACCGCCCACTCTATACAATATCTATGGTTTAGTATGGCAGTTAGAACTGAAATAATCCCAACCATAATCAACTACTACCCAAAATTATGATCCGTGTATTCGTTCAAAAAATATTTCTTTTGTGTATTTCTGAGTGCTGAACAGAAGTTTTCTGGATGAAAGCCTAATGCAGTATCATTGTTCTTGCTATCCATTGAAGGCAGACGGACAGACGAGAAGGTTTGATAAAGCGAAATAAACCATTGAAGAGCACAACACATCGCATTTGGTGTCTAGGCTGACGGAGAGGTTAAGAATATAACACGGTGGATATATATGACGTACTTCCACTTTATTTGACACATCTCACAGTTTGCGGATCCCAGCACTTCAAGCATTTAACTCGTTTTTCTTCTTGATTTGTAGAATACTGGTTGAGCACGTCTTCATGCAATCTCGAGGATAATTTAATGCCAATGAAGAAGTTGAAATCACTGCAACGTTAGTCTTTCTTTTTTTTGGAAAAAATTCTTAACATCATGTAATGTTTGTTTAAAGAGGGTAGCTCGTAAAATGATTTTTTCTTATCTCCGAACTCGCGATTGAAGAACTTCAGGCTACTTTCAGAAGGCGCGCATAGTTGGTTGCTGAAATTGTGCACTTCGGGATGTCCACCACATCGCAAATGAACCATATGAGCTACTTTCTCTGGTGTTTACATTGAGATAGCTTTCTGGAAAGAATATGGTGCATACCAAACTTAGTAGTTATCTGATAAGGATATAACATGTTTTGAGCTGATAGGTCTAGTGCTATACAGACGCCTGTTTCGCCCTTTTGAGACTCATCAGTAGTGCCCTCCCTCGGTTCATCCAATCACCTGAGGCTAAATAATCTCTACAAAGGAATCGACGCCGATTAAAGAAAATCACCACAATCAGATGATGGAATTACCTGACATTGTGGTGACCGGCAGTCGAGTTGGGGGCGGGAGGGTGCTACTGATAAGTCCCAATAGGATGTAATAGGCGCCTGTATAGCATTAGACCTAGTGGCTCAAAACATGTTATGTCCCTATCAGATTACATCATTTTGAGCGGGTCTATGAAAGAGCGGTCGAAAGGAGAGATTATAGCAGTATCAAATGTAGGTAAAACAAAGCGATCTATTTGGGTGCCTGAACGGTTCGTCCCTAATGGTAATGGGAACCTCAGTATCATTTTCATTCGTTCCCTTTCTCGCCACAGTTAGCATCTATGGTGATGGTCTGTTCCGAAAATAGTGACGCAAGCGAGACTCATTTGATATAGAAGATTCCGTTTCCGCACAACTTCACAATGGGTGTACCCTGATGGATTATGCAGGAACTTCCAAAGTCGAAAATTTATGTAGAAGATTTTCTACGCCATTAATGCTATTCAAATCGTGAAATGAGCAAATCGCTTTACTGTGAGCAGAGAGAAAAAATGCTCTAAATACAATCTTCAATCTAACTTCTTATACTTAATGAGGCATTGTTCAATCTTCTCAGATTCCTTGTTCAAAAATTACTATATCAGCTCGTCACCGCGTATTAGTACTTATGTTAACACACTGCATGAGAACCACTGATTGTTTGTAGATCTAGAGCAAAAAATGTTGTAAAAAGGGTATGACTCTATTTTTCTGGGATTCTGCATACTTTATTAGGCCTTCTTATAGTTTTAGCACTAGAGCAATAAACACCAAATTGACTATCAAAAATGATCAAAATTGCTTAGCAACTGCTCCATTAGCCTGAACCCATTTCTGCCATCTCCTAAGCAACAAATCAATACCGCCGCGCTCATAGAACTACCCATCCTTGAATTCATAAAACGTTGCCAATCCTCGACGAAGTGGATAATGTTTTGGAACTCCTTCTTAATCAGGAAGTCTTCCACCGATCGTGAGGTGATGGTCAAACGGCGACAAGTCAGGACTGCATGGCTGATGAGTGAGCAACTCCCAGCTTAGCTCGGTCAACTTGCTCTTTGTCAATCTGCCTACATTCAGCCTTGCGTTGCCTTGAAGCAGGATGAGATTGCAATGACGTCGATGTGAGAGGACCTGTAGGCAGCAGCAGGAAACGTTGTTCGCCTAGAGACAATTTTTTGAACCTTTTAATGGTTCATGCTCCCGAAGGCCGTTTTTTATTGCGTCTCAATTCGTACTCATAAAGCAGTAAATTTTGATAAAGGCTTCGTTGAGTGGCCATGAGACGGCAAACACAGGGAAAATTACTACTAGAAGAAAGCACAGAAAATTTTGCACAAAGCTGTACAGATTTGTTGCCTGAAAGTGATATGGCAGAAATATGTGAAAGCTGATACATATACTCTGAACAGTGTTGTTGAGCAATTTTAATAACTTCTGATTAATAAGATTGATCTTTATTGCTCTAGTGCCAAAACTTATGAGAAGACTTAATATGCATAATTTCTGATGTTCTGACTGCAATTTTCAGTGGTACAATGTTTCCATTACACCTAAGAGAATTGTGTGGTGAGCAAAAGCACAACCTCAGACGGGTGTCAAACCCGCGTTTCATTCATACCGCGGACTTGTGCTACCACTACGCCACCGAGGCACATTTGAGCCACCACTCATTCTTCGGCATCTTTATGACATCTCGTAATATTTTTGCTGGCCACTCAATTTTCTCAGGTATATTATAAACATCGTACCACTGCGAAAAAAGCAGCCAGAACATTAGAAATTATGAGTACTACATCTCACAGTGGCTGTCAGCTCAACTGTGTTTATAGAGCGAAATCGTATACCTGACCAAATCTGTCAAAGGTTGGTGGCTGATAGCTAACATTGAGATGTTGAAGAATGAGTGATGGCGCAAAAGTGCCACTGTGGTGTAGTGGCAGCGCGCGTCCCTGGTATGGGCGAAACGCGAGTTCGACTCAGGTCGTAATTTTGTCACCACCACAATATTCTCAAACTTAATATTATTGCGCCGTGTGCCAGCTGATCGTGGCATCGAATAGTGCGCGATGGAGTGCTTAATGATAAGTAAAACATCATCGAAGAGCAACCATTATCAACAGTCGTCATCCTGTAAAGGACATCTCACTTGAAGCTGTTTGTTCAAGCGGTGCTCAACCAAAAACATTGAGTTGAGCGAGAAGAAAGAACGAAACCATAACGAGCGCGCACTAATGGGGACAATCTATTAAGATTATCAGCTTTGAAAAAGACAAAGGTGCCGAGAATCTAGACGATCATATCTTAATAGCATTATGAGTGCGCGCTAATCATAATAAAAACTGCTATTGATTTACAGTTGTGAGGTCGAAGGGAAGCGGTCTTCAGGGTGTTGATGCAGAATCGAGTGTCCTAATTTAGCATAACTGTCAAGGATTACTGTATGCGAGGACATCTCCAAATCAAATTCGAGCGGTGCTCCATCGGAAAAGATTCGACTTGCGCGACAGCGATGATGAAGGTTTACAACGGAGACGAATGATTGTGGACAATCAACTCTGAAGAGAGCGATGACGCCAAAGTGTTTGCAGAATGAAGTTTGTTTATCAACTTTCTGATAACAATTAAATCATAGAAGAAACTGGCGTTGATAATGTGATTTTCTTGTACTTTGTTTTTCATTCTGAGCAGCGCGCTCTCATGAGTAGCGCAGGATTTAGCGTTTGTAATTCTCTTGTGCGATTGTCGTCCAGGTAACTAGCATGCTTTGGACATGCTGACATCTAGAAGAATTATTTCGTAATCCATAAACGGTTCCCATGCTTGAAGGTGACTGGTTAACAGGGAAAACAAGCGCTCACTCATTTTTGCATTGTTGACAGCGCTTTTTTTCGTGGTATGTATTCCACTGTTTGTTGTTTAGGCGCAAAAACTTATACTATATATCCAAGTAAGTTGAGTGGTATGCTCAAATTCTCAGTATAAAATCTGCTCAGCCATGTTTTCTCTTCAATACGTGTTTGTCTATGTATGAAATTAGAATTTTTTCGACCGTGTGGACTCTGCAAATGCTGCCAGAGCACTGAAAGCACTGTTGGACAAAAATGGTGTTCGCTCAGTTTCAAATCTAATGGATGGTTCTTAAATTCTGCGAATACCCGAGTAGACCCCATAATGCCACCTTTCAGCAAAATTCTCCCAAAGTGGGGTTCAACGATTGCTCGATCTATTCTGCCATGTGGGCCCTTTCCTCCAGATTGTTGTAATACCAGATCTCAAAATTGTGCAATAAAACCATCTGTGTAAAGCAATATAGTATCAATCCTGTTGCACAGAAAAAAAGAGCAACCTAGGCCACATTCGGGCCTTTCAAAGAAGTCAGCAACCAAATAACGAGCCCAAATTGCTTATAAGTCTATTTGACTAACAGTTTTTCCAGCGCCTTGCTATGCAGCAGAGACGTGGATTGGACTGTGACCAGATTAGGATTACTGTGAACCTCTCACAAAGCTCATAATAAACGAAGGCTCCCGCAATCTATTTGGCATTCACAACATGTAGCTGGCATGTGCAAGCAGTTCTCCGAAAGCTACCCCATCAGTGATCCGGAAGAATATACTTCGACAGAGAAACACAGGTGGGCCGATCATCTAACAACAAGGACAGACGACAGATGAACGAAGAGATCTGAAAGTGAACTCCACAATTTAGTCATGAGTCACAAACAATTTAGTCATGAGTGATCAATTCAATCCCAGCAAACATTGCTTCCGTACACATTTGTGAATTCTACACATTTAAGGTGTCTTAGTTCTAAAGACTCTCTCACATAATGAGTTTTTACATTAAGCCTTCTTATAAACCTTGACACTAGGGCAATAGACACCTAATTTATTAACCAAAAGTTATCAAAATTACTTAGCAGCACTAATTAAAGTATGCACCATCAGTCCGAAAACATTTTCGCCATTTTTCAGGCCAATCCGCGCTCTTAGAACTCGTCATCTTTGGTTTCAAAGATATCTGACAATCATTGAGGCAAATAATTGACGTCTCGGGACTTCTCTTTCTCAGAAAGGGTTTAGCGACCGAACGAGATGATAGTAAGACGGCGATAAATAAGGACTGTACGGCGGATGATCCAGCAATTTCCAGCCCAATTCGATCAACTTCCCTTGGTCAATTCGGCGACATGCACCCTTGCGTTGTCTTGAAGCAGGATGAGACTGAGGCGACGTTGCCTACTCGCAACTCAGCAACGAACCGAGACGCTGTTCTTTTGGGCACAAATCCTTGAACCTTTGGGCGGTTGACGTTCTCGAAGGCGGTCTGTGTATCGAATTGCAATGCGCAATTGCAAAGCAGCAAACTGAGCTAAAGGATTCGTTGAGCGGCCATGATGAGTTAAGTATGGACAAAAGTGGTATCAGAGAAAGCTCAGAAGATTCTGCACGATATGGTATCGGATTGTTGCCTAAGAGATGGCAGAAATGTGTTTAGGCTGATGGCACATACTTTGATTGTTCTTGAGAAATTTCGACTAGTTCTAGTTAATGATTTTAGTGTCTATTGCTCTTCAGCTCTACAGCTATACCTTATCATCGTGAAGCACGTTACTGATTTGTGCCATGACTGCTATATGTGCGGGCAGAGTCCACTTCCCCATTTGAACTGGGCAGAGAGTTTCGTGGAGCAGATTCATTGGTAGTAAGTTCGCGATACGTTGGATTTTCTTCAAAAATGAAAAGAAAGCCGAGATGCAATTTGCTTCAAGAATTTCCTATAGCACACGACAAAAATCAGTGAGTGCGGCGTACTTTCCATCACAAGTGCAATTTTGCCAATGTTCCTCGTGTTTGAAAAAAAGCATTTTTATGAGGAACTTTACGCACGTTGATCACGGAATTTGTGTACGGTAAATTATTCCTGTACGATATCGCAATCACACGACCAGATCCAATTTTGTGATCCATTGCTGCTTGCATTTTTTTCTACAATCACAAAGATTCTCATGTACTTTCGATTTTATTTCAGAATTTATTCAGCACCAGATTCAATAGATCCAGATATATCGATGAGCAATTACTTTAATATGGGCTTCGTGTATTCCTTGAGTGTGGGACTGCAATGTACAATGGGAGTGAATTTCTATTTCCATCCGGAAACTCATATGGGAATATAACAGGAGTCACACTTTCCTGCTAGCACTCTGATCATAAAGTGTACCATATAATATCAAAACAACAGTGACCGTTGCCTTAGAACCAAATAATCTCCTAGGTTCCTCGGAAGTTCAAAAATTACAAATTGCTTTGCCAACAATTGGCTCTCTCGCAGTAGTCAACCTAGAACGTGCTCCTTTCTCCTACGTCAAAGCTCAGACGGACCAGTCAGTTTCGATTAATCCTCGGAATGAACAATCATCGCGCAGTTGCTATAGACTTTAATCAAAACAATGATTCTCACTGCACTAAAAGCATAAAGAATGAAGCTCTCAACGTTAATCAATCCTAAGGTTTACTCCATGCATTCGTCTTCAATTATAACTTTGTCTGAGGTGATTGAATGCATATCTGGTCTTCACAATGACTCGCGATGGCTTCCCGGTGTACTGAGTCAGTGGTGAAAGTGACCAGCTTGGTATCAATCTACCGATCTCGAAGGGATGGATGGCTTGATCTGCCTTGAGCGCGAGATCAGACCATCGACCTCGTATGCAATGCAGAGCACCTCTAACCACTGTGCCATATGCACTCTCCCGTTACAGTATGGAGACTTTTTGAGATTCCACTCATACAACACATGAATAGCCCTTCAAACATCGATTTATTCTGCACCTGAAGCAACAACTCGTAGTATTCCATTTAATCTCTTTAGTGAAAAGCAAAAGCGGTGAAACCGCCATATGATAGTGAATTGAGGAAACTCTTATGATCGCCGAACAAATCTCCTGACATATTACCACGGTGAATAGGTTTTGCCATTCACTTCTGAAATCACTCTAACCGATTGCAGCGCCGTATGGTAAGAATCAACATGTTTACGTAATTATAGGACACACATTAGGATGTTTTTTCGTCAACTGTATGAAACTGTCTAAGCCTTAAGACTCTTTTATGAATTCATTTCATAAGCTTACGTGGGCCACACTGGGAAAACTAAGGAACGCAGAAACAAAATAAAAAGCTGTAGAACAACATTTGAAGTTGAAACCAGTCTTTTTAGTGAAGAGATTACTTTCAGCCTAAAGACGAAAAATGTGATTTAGTTGAAATCCAAAGAAAAAACAGAGAAAACCCACGCGATGAAATTTTACAACTTGCAAATTGAGAGGGTGAAAATCGCCAAACACCCAAAATTTCTCAATTTTGAGGAGCAACGCTATCTTTGAAAAGAACTCTCTCGAGGAAAAAAGAATTGTCATGAGTCTTACTTGAATATGCTCAATCAAAGTAGCAGATATTACCAGAATCATCAATCTCATAACTTTCGTTCAATAACAAATTAGGCGAAGAAAGCCACTCAGCGTTGAATGTGATCTGAGTTTTTTTATCCATAATGAAGAGTAGGAGTACTGGTGTTAATCTTATCGACTTCCAGGGCGAACGTTTATCTCTAACAAACAGTATAACACTTACCTGAACGTGCAGATTA